TCCCTGCTTCTAGGCTGGGCGTAACTGGGGGGTACTGGCCAGCTCCTGGCCCAGCAGGGCACGCAAATGCAGCGCTGCGGGGTCCCCGCCTGCAGAGGCAGCTGCCGGGGGGCCTGCCACAGTTTCCAGGCTCACTCTGCAGAAAGTAGGGAAAAAGCGACACTTCTTCCCGGTGCTGCAGGGCCTCGGGGGCTGCGGTGGAGCAGGCGGCGTTGCCATGGGGCCTCGCTCCACGCACAAAGGGAAGCCCTGAGTGCCGCTGCAGGGCAGGCTCCGTTAGGAACGGGTTTAAGGCTTGCTTTGTTTTCCAGAGCGAGGGAAAGGGAAGCTCCCCTTCCGCTGCCAGCACTCTTTCTCCTCGTTTCTGAGCCACTTCCAACACCACCTTCCGCAGGACCCAACCGCAACGGTCCCTGGCGGCTCAGAAGTCTCTGCTGCCGGTGCTCGGGAAGGAGGCACCCAGAGGGAGGGACGCAGCCCAAACCCCAGCCCCAGCTAGCACGGCTGGTGCTCCCTGTCCTCCGAGAGGAGCTCGGCCGTCGCCTCCCGGCCAAGGTACCCTGCTCCGGCGGGGGCTGCCTCGTGGAAGCTCGTGGCTCTGCTGCTGCTGGGAAGCTTGGGGTGGGGGGGGGTCCAGGGCCCCTCCTCCCCCTCGTCCTCCTGGGCAGGCTCTGGGTGCTCACACTCCATCTCGACGTCGTCAGTGTCCTTCTCCCGATAGAGCGGCACAGACTCCATCTCCAGGCCGCTCTCCAGGGCTCTGTGCTTCCCTCCCTGCTGGTACCATTTGCAGGCGGCGGAGGCGTTGCAGCTCAGGTCAAGCCCCACGTTGTTCCTGGTCAGGCAAACCTCCAGCATGTAGTAGAAAGTCCAGAACACGGCAAAGCACCCCAACAGCAGGAGGGTCTGCGGAGGAGGAAAGCCCTTAAGAAGCAAAGCCCTTGACCGCCCCAGAGCCCTGCTGTCACCCAGCGGAGAGGGCGCAAGGCCAGGAGGATCAGCGAGGCAGGTTCCCACTCCTCCAGTCCCTCCTGCAGAGGATGGGGTCTCCCCGCTCGGCGCCCGCCGGCCGTCTCACCTTGAGGGTGTTGGCCGTGATTGTGTAGCGCTGCTCCTCGGGGATCTCCAGCCCCGGCGGGCAGGGCAGGGAGAAGTTGCTGCTCAGGTACTGCCCGCTCATGGCTTCCTCCAGCAGCCTGGGGGACAGAGGCACCCCGTGAGGGTCCCGCAGGCAGGGCTGCTCCAGGGAGGGTCCCAAATGCCCACAGAGGGTCCGGAGTGCCTCTTCCACCACCGAGGGTTGCCCTCCTGGGTCAGACCCAGCCAACAGAGCCGTTTTCTCCAGCCCACGGCTCCCCCGTGCACCGTACGGAGGGCAGCCCCAGGGCCCCGGCCAGGGGCCAGCGGCCACGCTGCATCCTCCCCCTGCCACGCACCTCGCAGCAGTGCTGTTCCAGCCCAGCGGCATCTGCTCAGAGGCTTCTGCTTATGTCCCTTAGCCCTCCATCTCCCGTCTCCCCACCAAGATGGGGTTGTGGTGTCCTACCTCTGCCGCTCCTTCATCTCTGCTGGGGACCAGGAGGAGCCGTACAGGGTCAGCTGCCACTGCTTCAAGGTCCCAGGCCTCAGGCTCTCATCTCCTGGGGAAGAAACAGGTTGGACCAGTGGGGAACTCTCCCACCTGGCTGGGTGGCACGGAGCGGAGCTAACCTGCGGCCGCCCAGGTGCTGCGCTGGCAGCTCCCCAGGACACAGCACGTAGCTGCTGCCACCGCCCCACGAAGGACTCCTGGGAGGCAGGACTCACCGATGTCCCTGATGACCAGCCTGTACGTGCCCCGTGCTTCCTCGCCCCAGCACCGCACCGTGGAGAAGGTCCAGTCTGCAAAGCCATTAGGGTCCCTGCCAAAGGGTGAGGAGAAACAAGCCGCGAGAGGGTTACGGAGCCTGAGCCACGAGGCTGGACGTGGGCCCTGGCTCTCCTGCTGGGGGCCAGCTGGGCTGGGTGTCCTGCCCTGCAGCAGCAGCCTCCGCACCCCCGTCCCCCTCGGTGCTTACGAGTCCATGCTCCTGGTGGTCCCTATCAGGGACATCATGCCACTGGGGCAGAAGAGCCTGATTTCCAGGTTGCCACGGCGGGGGTGGGTTATGGTGACAGTGACTGCCACGTGCTCCAGGGTTCTCATGCCGGAGAGCTCCAGGTCGGCGGTGGTGACTGGGAAAGAGAAGGCAGGGTTTGCCCAGGCCGGCGGCCGGGATGGAGTCCCCACTTCCAGTCGGCCCTGAGGGGCTGCTGTGCCACATAACAGGACAAAAGCGCTCATCTCTGCCTCCTCCCGCCTGCCCCTGTGCGTCTGTGTCCCCCGAGCGAGAGGCAGGAGCCAGGGCAGCCGTACCCCACGCGGGGAGGCTCTGCCAAGTGCCTGGCAGCAAAGCCGCCCTGTGCTCGGTGGCCTGGCCCTGGTCCACGCTCTGCGAGGAGCCTCCTCGTCTGTCCAGGCCGAGCCACCCACACACCTCCCTGGCTAGCGCAGGGAAAGGTGTCCCGGCAAACTCCCGCCCAGGCACCCCACGTTGTGCTCGGCCTGCTTGGCATAGGCCAGGAGAAGTCAGGTCCTCCCAAACCAGAGGTGAAGGAGGCACCTGGTACGGCTGTCCCCTGCCTGCAGCTGTGCCCTTTGTCCCCTCCCTGAGGTCGGCCAGGACCAGGCCAGACGAAAAGGATGGTGCGAAAGGGGTGAGGAGGAGGTGGCGAGGAAGGAGGGACGAAAGGCAACAGCGGCATTCGCAGTGGGAAAGCTGACCCCTGGGCATCTCCCAGCCCGGCCCAGAGCAGGAAGACGATACGAACCCACGCTTTCCTCTGCTCACGAGGAGGGGGCCCAGGCACGCCTCCCTCCCCGCTCATTTACCAGCAGCCTCTCGCCTGCAGCCA